TGTCGTGCTGATGTGGGGTAAAGTGGAGTTAGGACCTACATACAGAGGGATCGGTCAGTGCAGAACTTTCATCTCCAGTTTACCCTGCCGATGCACAGCCTCAGGGTATCTCTACCAAGATAACACCTGAAAATAGATTAGACTTGGGTAGTGAGAAGAGTTGGTTTTATCATCCTTGTTTGGAAGAAGAGCTTGTAACAATTTAGGTGTTGGCATCTATTGATTGTCTTTTTTGATTTAGTTTGAGATCTTCCTCTTTCTTGCAATGACAAGTGATTTTCGATTGGAACCTGGACATTTTTGTATTATGTTATGAGACTCTGGATCTTATTGAGATCTTATGTTTTAAGTGACTTTGTCAGATACCTCTCTAGTGGGGAGGCACGGGGGCCATGCAACCTTGTTACTGCTAGCTACAGGTAGAAATCCAGATTCTCAACTTAGCCTCCATTGACACCTGAGGTAAGGGGGTGGGTTGTGGGCTGGGGAAGAGAGACCCTTGTTACTGCTGGGCAGGGGTGGGATTTCTGACTTTCCACATGGTCTTTACTGACACTGTGGTGAGGTAGTCTCATTAGCACTGGATGGTGGTGAAAGGCCTGTTGCTCCTAGGCCTCCTATGACACCATTGTAATGGGGAGGAGGAGGGATACCTCATACTGCTAGTGGGGGTGGAAGTCCAGGCTCCCCATGCATTCTCCATGGACATCACATTGTGCACGTCAGTACTGGCCCAGCTGGCAGAAATGAAGGCGCTGGCTCCCTACTTGGCCTTCTCTGACACTATTTCAATGGGAGTATTAATAAGCCTCCTCCTTACAGCCTCCTGGGGGTGGAAGTCCAGTTTCCCCACTCTGCCTTTGCTAGTTTGGATGGCCAACAGTTTCTTTTGTGGTGTTTGACTGGAGTAGAGCATTTACTGTTTAAAAGTTTTCTGTCTTGCAAGGCTGCCTCTTTTCTGGTCGTTTGACTCGTGAGAGCAGACTTTTGCTGAGGCTATTTTGGTCTGTGCCCGTTAGCATTTCTGGGTTTCTGGCTTCTTCAGCAACACATCTGGGATATCTGAGGCAGAAAGGAAACACAGGAATCCCACCACCATGCCGTTTCCTAGGTTTTAAAGGCCCAAGCCAGGTTGCCTTCTCACCACCTTTCAAAGTCTTAATGTTTGTTTTATGCATAATGTCCAGGGTTTTTAAGTTGTATTTAGCAGGAAGAATAGGAAAAAGTAAGTCTATTCCATCTTCCCAAAAGTAGAAGCCCTTACCGTTCAATTTTTGTTTTGTTTAGTTTTTCCCAGATTTCATTATGAAAAATTTTATACAGAGACGATGAAAGAATTGTAGAGTTAACTCCTATTTTTCCACCACCTAGATTGAACACTTGTTAACATTTTGCTACATTTTACTTTATTGCATATTTATCCATCTATCTGTCCATTTATTATTTTTTGATGGATATCAGTATGCTTGACCCCTAAACACTGGCATGTATATTAATTAGACTTCACTATATGTTTATGTTTTTATTTATGGTAAATTTTACATAAAGTGAAATGCACAAAATTGTAAGTACCGCTTGATGAGTTTTGTATAATCCAGCCCTTACTGGGACCATTTTTATTGCCCCAGGAAGTTCCCTGAATCCTATTATGAATTAATTCCTACTGCCATTTTACTCCAAGAAGCAAAGATTGTTTTGATTTTCTTTTCTTCCTTTTCTTTTTTTTTGTCATAGATTAGTTTTGCTTGTTTTAGAACTTGATATAAATGGAACCACATGCATGGCTTTTTTTTTTTTTAAAGCACAATGTTTTTGAGATATATCCATGTTGTTGTATGTATCAATCTTTCATTACTTTTTATTGCTGAGTGATATTTCATTGAATGAATAATACCATAGTTGATTTATCCATTTTCCTGTTGGTGACACTGGTCTATTTCTTTTTTTTGGTTGTTGTTGATTTTTCTGAATTTTCAGATTTTTTATTCCCCATCTTAGAGGGTTTCTCTTCTATTCCAGCCACTTTAAACAAAGATTTTATTTTGTTTTTAATTGTACTTTAGGTGAAAGATTACAGAGCAAATTAGTTTCTCCTCAGACAGTTAATACACAAATAGTTTTGTGACATTGGTTGCCAACCCACAATGTGTCAACACTCTACCCTTCTCCATGCCAGGTTCCCCATTCGTCCAATTTTCCTATCCTTTCCTGCCTTGTCTTTGCTTTTGGGCTGGTGTGCCCATTTAGCCTCATATACATGATTGAACTATGAAGCACATTCCTCACGTGTCATTGTTTGTTGTAGAGACCTGTTTAATCTTTGACTGAAGGATGAACTTTGAGTGACTTCAGTACAAAGGGTGTCTGGGGCCTACTCTTAGGGTTTCTTCAGTTGCTGTCAGACCAGTAAGTCTGGTCTTTTCTTGTGAATTTGAATTTTGTTCTACATTTTTCTCCTACTCTGTCCGGGACGCTCTGTTATGGTCCCTGTCAGAGTCATCAGTAGTGGTAGCCAGGCACCATCTAGTTCTGGGCTCAGGCTGGTGGAGGCTGTCATATTTGTGGTCCATTAGTCCTTTGGACTAATCTTTTCCTTGTGTCTTTGATTTTCTTCACTCTCCTTTGCTCCAGAGGGAGTGAAACCAGTAGATGTATCTTAGATGGCCTCTCACAGGCTTTTAAGACCCCAGACGCTACTCACCACAGTCAGATATAGAACATTTTCTTTATAAATTATGTTGTGCCAATTGAGTAAATGTCCCCCAAGACTGTAGTCTCCAGTCCTCAGCCCAGTAGCTCGGTCCCTCAGGGAGTTTGGATGTGTCTATTAAGTTTCTATAACTTCATCCATCTTGTGAGATATTTCACAGATTCATCAGTGTTCTTTACTGTTGCATAGTATTCCACTGTGTGTATGTACCACAGTTTGTTTATCCATTCATCTGTTGATGGGCACTTAGGTTGTTTCCGTCTTTTTGCTATTGTGAATAATACTGCAGTGAACATGGGTGTGCATATGTCTGTTTATATGATGGCTCTTATTTCTCTAGGATTTATTCCTGGGAGTGGGATAGCTAGATCCTATGCTATTTCTATTTCTAGCATTTTAAGGAAATGCCATATTGTTTTCCAAAATGGTTGTTCCATTTTGCATTCCCACCAGCAGTGCATAAGAGTTCTAGTCTCCCCATAGTCTCTCCAACATTTGTTATTTTCTGTTTTTTTGATTAGTGCCAGTAATGTCAGGGTGATATGGTATCCCAGTGTAGTTTTGATTTGCATTTCTCTAATGGCTAGTGATAGCAAACATTTCTTTATGTGTCTGTTAGCTGCCTGGATGTCTTCTTTGGTAAAATGTCTGTTCATATCCTTTGCCCATTTTTTAATTGGATTATTTGTCTTTTTGTTGTAGAGATGTTGGATTTTCTTATAGATTGTAGAGATTGGACTTTTGTCAGATATGTCATAGGCAAAATTTTTTTCCCAGGCTATAGGTTTGCTTTTTACTCTTTTGTTAAAGTCTTTTGGTGAACTAAATGTTTGCTTTTTAGAATATCCCAGTTTTCTAGTTTATCTTCTGATGTTTGTGTATTGTTAGTTATGGTTTGTATCATATTTATGCCATATATTAGGGCCCCTAGCATTGATCCTATTTTTTCTTCCATATTCTATATAGTTTTTGGTTTTATGTGTAGGTCTTTGATCCATTTTTAATTAGGTTTTGTGTATGGTGTGAAGTATGGGTGCTGTTTCATTTTTGTTTTTACAGATATTTTTTTTTTTTACAATTTTGCCAGCACCAGTTGTTAAAAAGACTGTCTTTTCCCCATTTGATGGATTTTGGGCCTTTGTCGAAGATTAGATGACCATAGGTGGATGGATTTACATCTGGGTTCTCAATTCTGTTCCATTGGTCAATGTATGTGTCATTGTACAAGTGCCAGGCTGTTTTGACTACCGTAGCTGTATAGTAGGCTCTGAGGTCAGATAGTGCGAGGCCTCCTACTTTGTTCTTCAATAATGCTTTACTTATCCAGGGCTTCTTTTCTTTCCATATGAAGTTAATGAATAGTTTTTCCATCTTATTAAAGAATGCTGTTGGTATGTGGATAGAGATTGCATTGTACTTGTAAATTGCTTTGGGTAGAATTGACTTTTTCACAATGTTGAGTCTACCTATCCATGAGCATGGTATGTTTTTCCATTTATGTAGGTCTCTTTTGGTTTCTTGCAATAGCGTTTTGTAGTTTTCTTTGTGTAGGTCTTTCACGTCTGACACTGGTCTATTTCTAGTTTTTTGCCATTAAATTTTGATGGTTGGAATAATTTATTACTATCTCTCTGCCTTTTTGAACATACTACAAGGTAACTTAAGGTTTTGTGCCTTTCCTCTGGTGAATAAAACGATTGAGGGATATAATGATATATTCCCTCATACACAATACCGACATTTCCTATGTGTCTCTTACTGGTAGTGCTAGCTATCAGTTTATTTGTAGCAGAAAAATTTTCATATTGGAACAAAAAGCTAGTTCTAGCATTGTAAAAAATCAGAATTTAGCTTCTTGGCGCTTAATTTTATTTTGTGAAGGAGAAACTATGGTTTTAGCCAAACCATAACTAATATTTATTACTCAGAATGCCAAACTAGTCTCTCGAAGAACATCCTATTTTAGGAATATTTAGAATATTCTATTCCTACACAAAACATTGATATAGTTGTTACAGATGGATTTAGTTGTCTTTCTCAGACCTTTATACGTAAGTCTCTCACTTCTTTCTTGTAAATGAATAACTACAGGGACTATAATTTCTGATCAGTTGACTAACTGATTAATATCAGGGGATTCCTGCAAGCTGGGAAATGGGACAAAATAAACTTCATATGAGATTCTAATTAGAGTGATTTTGCTTACTTTTAACAACTCAGGAAGAAATAGATAATGTTGTTTCCAACTTTTATTACAGCCTTCTCTGACATTATTTTTTCTTTAATACAGTTGACGGACTGGACAAAGCTTCTATAGCAAACTCAGATGGCCCAACATCAGGTTCCCAAACACCTCCCTTCAAGAGAAAGGGGAAACTATCCACCATTGGTAAAATCTTTAAACCTTGGAAATGGAGGAAAAAGAAGACAAGTGACAAATTTAGAGAAACATCAGCAGGTATGACTATCATATACACAAAATAAATTCCTAAATTTTTCAAAGGGTGAGAAATTACATCTTGCAGATTTTTTCTAGAAAAAAAAATTAGCGATATTTGAAACGAAATTATTTAAGAAAGATTTGCCTTCTTTTTCTCTTCACTTTGACTTTCTAGTATATTAGAAATAAATTCTAATGGTCTTATTTTTAATATATACTTACATTTATTTATTACATATACTTATAAATTCACATAAGACTGATATGTGGGGAGGAGGAGGTGAAATAGTGGGAAATTAGAAGTGGAAATCATGTTCATCAGCTTATGGATACAAGTTTCTATTTATGATCCATTTATGAAATACATATTGTTATGTATGTATCCATCTAATTCCAGTAGCAGCCTCTTATTGTTAATTTAATTTTTTTAAGGTATTTGTTCTGTGCTCAAGATTTAAATGGGTGCATGGAAGAAAAGCATTACCATAATTATTGTTTAATTTTAAATTTCCGTCATATCTTGGAACAAATGAGTGGCCTCTGTTCTAGGGGAGCCATATCCTATTGGTGTGAACATTTCTCTATTGTTAATTTGTGGATTTGTTAAATCTTAAGAATTACATCATTTAGTACCTTTCATCCCCACACATCTGTCAATTTGTTGTACTGTGGTGGCTTGCATATTGCTGTGATGCTGGAAGCTATGCCACTGGTATTTCAAATACCTTTAGGGTCACCCATGGTAGACAGGTTTCAGCAGAGATTCCAGACTAAGACTGACTAGGAAGAAGGACCTGGCAGTCTACTTGTGAAGAAATTGGCCAGTGAAAACCTTATAGTGGTGGAACACTGTCTGGTATAGTGCCAGAAGGTGTGCCCCTCAGTTGGAAGGAACTCAAAATACCACCAGGGAAGAGTTGAAGTAGACGCAACTGTAATGATGTGGAGGGAGTAAAGCTTTCGGGACCTTCATTTGTTGATGTAGCATGACTCAAAATGAGAAAAAACAGGTACAAACATCCATTAATAATCAGAACATAGAATGTACAAAGTATGAATCTAGCAAAATTGGAGATTGTCAGAAATGAGATGGAACACATAAAAATCGATATCCTAGGCATTAGCGAGCTGAAATGAACTGGTATTGGCTATTTTGAATCAGACAATCATGTGATCTTCTACGCCAGGAGTGACAAATTGAAGAGGAATGGTGTTGCATTCATCATCAACAAGCACATTTCAAGATCTATCCTGAAGTACAACGCTGTCAGTGATAGAATAATATCCATACGCCTAAAAGGAAGACCAGTTAATGTGACTATTATTCAAATTTACACACCAACCACTAATGCCAAAGATGAGGAAATTGAAGATTTTTACCAACTTCTGTCTAAAATTGATCAAACATGCAGTCAAGATGCATTGATAATTACTGGTGATTGGAATGCAAAAGTTGGAAATAGAGACGAAGGATCAGTAGTTGGAAAATATGATCTTGGTGATAGAAATGATGCTGGAGATCTTATGATAGAATTTTGCGAGACCAACGACTTCTTCATTGCAAATACCTTTTTTCAATAACATAAATGGCAACTGTGCACGTGGACCTTGCCAGATGGAATACACAGAAATCAGATCAGCTACATCTGTGGAAAGAGATGATGGAGAAGCTCAGTATCATCAGTCAGAACAAGTCCAGGAGCTGACTGCAGAGCAGACCGTCAATTGCTTATATGCAAGTTCAAGTTGAAGCTGAAGAAAATTAGAGCAAGTCCACGAGAGCCAAAATACGACCTTGAGTATATCCCCACCAGAATTTAGAGAACATCTCAAGAATAGATTTGACCCACTGAACACTAATGACTGAAGAACAGACAAGTTGTGGAATGACATCAAGGACATCATACATGAAAAAAGCAAAAGGTCATTAAAAAGACAAGAAAGAAAGAAAAGACCAAAATGGATGCCAGGAGAGACTCTGAAACTTGCTCTTGAATGTTGAGTAGCTATAGCAATGATGAAGTGAAAGAGCTAAACGGAAGATTTTGAAGGGCAACTTGAAAAGACAAAGTATTATAATGAAATGTACAAAGACTTGGAGTTAGAAAATTAAAAAGGGAAGAACACACTCAACATTTCTCAAGCTAAAAAAACTGAAGAGAAAATTCTAAACTTCAGTTGCAATGTTGAAGGTTTCTACAGGGAAAATATTGAACAACCCAGGAGACATCAAAAGAAGATGGAAGGAATACACTGTGTCACTGTACCAAAAAGAATTTGTGGACCTTCAACCATTTCAGGAGGTAGAATATGATCAAGAACCAGTAGTATTGAAGGAAGAAGTCCAAGCTGTACTGAAAGGAATGATGAAAAACAAGGATCCAGGAATTGATGGAATACCATACCAACTGAGATGTTTCAACAAATGAATGCAGCACTGGAGGTACTCACTTGTTTGTGTCAAGAAATTTGGAAGAGAAGAGGTTTAATAAACACAGAAGGAAACATGCTTTGCCGGTTATGAGGGTAGGGAGAAAGGGAGATGGGTATTTACTAACTAGATAGTAGACAAGAATTATCTTAGGTAAAGGGACGGACAGCACACACTACAGGGGACGTCAGCACAATTGGACTAAACCAGAAGCTAAGAAGTTTGCTGAATACAACCAAACACTTCAAGGGACAGAGTAGCAGGGGCAGGGGTCTTGGGGACCATGGTTTTCAGGGGACATCTAGGTCAGTTGGCCTAACAAAGTTTATTAAAAAAATGTTCTACATCCCACTTTGGCAAGTGGTGTCTGGGGTCTTAAAAGCTTGTGAGCAGCCATCTGAGATGCATCATTTAGTCCAGACCCACTGGAGGCAAAGGAGAATGAAGAACACCAAAGACACAAGGAAAATTTTTGCCCAAGACACAGAAAGGGCCACAGAAACCAGAGACTCCATCAGCCTGAGATCAGAAGAACTAGATGGTGCCTTTCTACTGCCAGTGACCACCCTGACAGGGAACAAAACAGAGAGTCCCTGATGGAGCAGGAGAAAAGGGTGCAGAACTCAAACTCTAGTAAAAAGACCAAACTTAATGGTTTGACTGAGACTGGAGGGGCCCCAAAGACATGGCCCCCAGACTGTGTTACCCCAAAAGTAAAACCATTTCCAAGGCCAACTTTTCAGACAAAGATTTGGCTGGACTATGGGACATAAAATGATACTTGTGAAGAGTGTGCTTCTTAGTTCAAGTAGGTACATGAGAGTAAATGGGCAGTTCCTGTCCAGAGGTGAGATGAGAAGGCACAGAGGGTCAGGAGCTGGCTGAATGGACACGGGAAATCCGGGGTGGGAAGGAGGAGTGTGCTGTCACAGTGTAGGGAGAGCAACTAGGGTCACATAACAACGTGTGTATAAATTTTTGTATGAGAAGCTAACTTGAATTGTAAACTTTCACTTAAAGTACAATAAAAAAAAAGAAAAGAAAGAAATTTGGAAGATAGTTTCCTGGCCAGCCAACTGGAAGAAATCCATATCTGTGCCCATTCCAAAGAAAGGTGTTCCAACAGAATGTGGAAATTATCAAACAGTATCATTAATATCACACGCAAGTAAAATTTTGCTGAAGATCATTCAAAAGCAGTTGCAGCAGTACATCAACAGGGAACTGCCAAAAGTTCAAGCCAGATTCAGAAGAGGACATGGAACGAAGGATATCATTGCTGATGGCAGGTGGATCTTGGCTGAAAGCAGAGAATACCAGAAAGATGTTTGGCTGTGCTTTATTGACTGTGCAAAGGCATTCAACTGTGTGGATTGTAACAAATTTTGAATAGTGTTATGAAGAATGGGAATTCTAGAATACTTAATTGTGCTCATGAGGAACCTATACATAGACCAAGAGGTAGTCGTTTGAACAGAGTAAGGGGATACTGCATGGTTTAAAATCAGGAAAGGTGTGCATCAGGGTTGTATTCTTTGACCATACTTATTCAGTCTATATGCTGAGCAAATAATCTGAGAAGTTGAACTATATGAAGAAGAACACAGCATCAGGATTGAGGAAGACTCATTAACAACCTGCAATATGCAGATGATGCAACCTTGCTTGCTGAAATGAAGACTTGAATCACTTACTGATGAAGACCAAGGACTACAGCCTTCAGTATGGATTGCATCTCAACACAAAGAAAACATAAATCCTCACAACTTGACCAATTAAGGAACATTGTGATAAACAGAGAAAAGATTGAAGTTATTAAGGGTTTCTTTTGACTTGGATCCACAGTCAACGCCCACGGAAGGATCAGTTGAGAAATCAAACAACATGTTGCTTTGGGCAAGTCTGCTGCAAAAGACTTCTTTAAAATTTTAAATAGCAAAGATGTCACTTTGGAGACTAAGGTACACCTGACCCAAGCCACAGTATTTTCAGTCACCTCATATGTGTGTGAAAGCTGGACAGTGAATAGGGAAGACTGAAGAAGAATAGACGCCTTTGAACTGTGGTGTTGGCAAAGGATATTGAATATACCATGACCAGAAGAACGAACAAATCTTTCTTGGAAGAAGTACAACCAGAATGCTCCTTAGAAGAGAGGATGGTGAGACTTTGTCTTATGTACTTTGGACATGTTGTCAAAAGAGACCAGTCCCTGGAGAAGGACATCATGCTTGATAAAATAGAGGGCCAGCAAAAAAAGAGGAAGACCCTCCGTGAGATGGATTGACACTGTAGCTGCAACAATGGGCTTATGCATAACAATGATTGTGAGGATGGTGTGGGAACAGGCAGTGTTTTGTTCTGTTGTACACAGTGTCGCTATGAGTTGGAACCAATGCAATGGAACCTAACAAGTACCTTTCATATAGACTAATGGAGGAAGTTGGCTTTAAATCTCAGGTGAAGAATTAAGACTGATTCAAAGGAGTGTCAGTGGTATTTGTTTAAGCTAGAAAGTCATTTATTTCTTGATATAAGTTCAGTTTTCTCCACGCTTACTGTCCAAAAGAATCCCTTCATCAAAATT